TCTAACTATCATGCAGTCGAATGGATTCGTTCAAATGTCTTTTGGTTCTTTCTGTTTTGTCATAAAATGCTTTGCATCTGTTTAAACTATTCAACTAGTCCAGCAATTTGTTGCCTCTGCTAGTTAATGCCTACTAACAGTACTATGTATATTAATTGGTTAGACTTAATACTAGCACTACACTGCAAAATGTTTAAGAATTAGGATTTCAGAATAATTTTTAATATGTCTTCCGGGTATTTTTAGCACATTCATATAGTTGAAAGTTAAAACACTGTATTGGCTGACTAGCTGATTTTCCAGTCTCTCTCTGATAATTGGAAAGTCAGGAAAATTCTACATTGCAAACCGAATGAAATTCCATGATTGCAGTAGCGTGCGCTGCTTGCCAATAAATGCAAAATATAACAGAATTACTTCACTTTGATGATGTGATGTCCAAATGCTGATATAAGTGTCTTGTAAAAGTATTCAGTCCCAAGCACAGTTATCTCATTTTCTTGCTTTAAAACTTGCAGGCATGACGCCTTGAATTAGCAATTCATATTGTGAATGTATACAGCCTACTTCACACATTCAAACAAGAAGCCCAACAAGAAATCAATAGATATGAAAGAAAAATGGAAAAGTCACCTCTCAGCAGCACAGTGATCCAGAACACAAGACCAAAGCTACACTGGAGTGGCTAAAGATTAAGGAAGTGAATGTCATGAAGTGACCTAGTCAAAGCCCTGACTTGAATCCCGCTGAGAGTGGGGGGGAGAACTGCTGTACTTAAGTGATCCTGAAAGCAACTTGAGAGAACGTGAGCAAACATTGCACCAAGCCAATGTACAAAATCGGTAAATAACCAAAAAGGACTTGAGGCTGTAATTGCTGCCAAAGGAGGTTTCACCAGTAATGAGCTCACGGGTCTGAATATATATGCAATCAGCGTCCTTATTTTTCTTTCTCATTTTGGCTGACATCTACTGTAACTTATCTTACCCTTAGAAGGCTTCAGTTTTAGGATTCGGGGTTTGAATAAAATACGTTTAAGAACTGTGTGTGCATCATTTTATCACTCCACATAGTGAGACACCATAGGAAGTGACCGAATGCTTTAGAAAGGCACTTTACGGTGGGTAAGAGATATGTAATGTAATGACACAGGAATCAAAAATGATTAAAAAGTACAGGACATACCAGATAAATTACAATGGTATTTTCCGTCCTGCTCTTTTTGCTCTAACCTCATGCTTATATTATTAAATAAAATGAATATCCCCTCATATGTAAATAGCTTGTAAAGGGGGGTTGTTAGAGCTTTCTCGTTCATTCTTCATGAATATGTCTCTTTGGAAATTTATTCTGCGAATAAAAAACAGACACAGGGATTCCTGTTTTCCTAGGAGAATTATTTCCACACAGCTAGATCCCGAATCTCTGCTCTTTGCATTTAAATGTAACATTAGTGATCTTTCCAGTCCAGCTGAAGCCCTCCAAAACCTCAGTATCAGTAACTTTTCTCCATATTTCTGAATAATATTTTATTTTGCGTTGGCAGTTGCACCACTGCTTCCTGCTTTGTTAATCTTAATGAGCTTAATTTGTCCTTAGAGAATTTTCTTACTGGAAAAAAAGCAAGGCACAGTTTGGCAGACAACTTATTACCTTAGGGTTAAAGCTTTTGTGTAAAATTCAATTTATGTATTTATGTCTTTAATGTTTGTGTTATCAGATGTAATTAAATGTAAGTGCTCACGATTCCCAGTTGAGTCATTTTTTGTAATGTCAGATCATTCTAAATTGTATTCCATATACAAACATTTGAGTTTTTCCTACAGAGATCTGACATCTTGTAGTAACCTTAAGAGCAGTTATAGGAGGCTGAAAGGACAGATTTTGACGGTCAATTGCTGTAACCTTCCCACTACAATGTGAAATTAAAATACACTTGGCTCTACAGAATGATACCTGCTTAGCAATTTCAGTGCGTGCTGAATGCTGGCTTTTGTATTGTGTGCTGTCTTGATGCTGGTTTTAATTGGTTTCTTGAGCTACACAATGCTGTATAAGCGTCTAGAGATGTCATTTTTAAAATTGAATCAATGTAGTGCGCAGTATTTGACTCAGCAGCCGGATTTTTTTTACATTCAGCAACTGCTAAATATATTTTTAAATATCCTGGGTGTAAATCTTTTAGATGTGCTTTTCTAATGAGAATATATTTCATTCTGTTTCTAACTAAAGATTGGCTCAATGGTCAGCTAATTTTAGCGCAGTTGCTGCTGGCAAAGTTGTGATGAATTGAAGAACACACTTTTTAAAGTGGCTTGGTAACATAGTCCTTCTGGCTACTCTTCAAGTACGAGGTGTCCACCTGTGGATGGTGTCAAACTCAAGTCCTGAAATCAAATGTTATCCTTTCCTCTGCCCTACATAGCTGTAATGTTTTGGGAAAACGTAAAAGTTCTGAAACCCAACCTTTTCCCCAGAAAGAAACATTTGCCAGCTCCCAGAATCTAAAAATTCTTGGGGGAAATTTTAGCTTTAGTATTCAGATTATCTCATACATTTCTGTTTTTACATCATGAGAATCTTGTTCCTTACGGTTATTTAGAATATAAACCCTAATGGACAATTGCATTGCAAGTAGTCTGTAATTCCTTTGCTCTAAGCCTGAACATCCACCCATCCATTTTCTAACTGCTTAATCCATTTCAGGGTTCAGGGGGAGATAGGAACACACTCACAACAGGGCCGGTTTTCCCAGAAGCCAGTTTGCCTACGGGCCTGTCTTTGGACTATGGGAGGAAAACAGAGCACCTGGAGGAAACTCTTATGAACCCGGGAAGAACATGCAAACTCCACGCAGATATCACCCCAAGTCCAGAATCGATCCCAGGGCCCCAGCTGAACAAAATAAATGTGCACTACAATGAATATTTTCAGTTTAATCGTACCATGTAAGATCAGACATTACAGCGAGTATCATGCCATTGATGCTTTATTGTGTCTTCTAGGAATTCACATTTGTACCATAAGCCATAACATCACATTGCATGAAACCTATGTGACATAAGGATTTTTGTGGTTTTGGGGACAGGGAATAAGGTCGTGTAGAAATGCTCTTGTTTTATCTGCTACATTATAAAGGAATCCCATGAACATATACGTGCTCCATGCAGATAGCACCCCAGGGCCAGAATTGAACCCAGGGCTCCAGGTTCAACAAGACAGCAATGTTAACCACAGTGCCACCCAGATCTTGCTTATAATGAAAACAATAGTTTCATAAGTACCTTGAAAACGAAAGGTGGCTTTAAAGAAATTCAGTTGTACAGAAAAAGCTGTTCTGTAATTCTCTCTACCAGCACAAAAAATTGTTATTTCAAAAATGATTTGGAACACTGTCTGTAAAGTACACATTATACCATTTATACCAGTGTGTACAGTATAAAAAATAGGACTAAAATATTGCTCATATATATCATAGCCATTTACAGTTATGTTATCATGTCAACTGGAAATGAATCTTGAAAATGTAATAGGATTTTTGGAGTTAGATGCCATATAACCATATACAGTATAAAACAAGTTTTTATCATCTTGACATTTTGGCCTCAACATTCTTATAGTCCCTTGATGGCCATTTTTGCCTACAATAACACATTTAGGTAGCAGCACTTTGGTTGCTGTACTTTAATGTCTTATTGTTTCTGTTCTATTTTTCTTCCTTTTACTGCTGCTTTTTTCGCCACCGGTGTATGCATATTCTCAGTAGAAAGGTGTTCAAATTGATGTTCTAAATCTCAAACGAGTGCAGAGTTCCTATCTTGATGTACAACAGGGTGCTGTTTGGCAGAGGTGATGACAGAACCCCCCCTGAGGGAAGACTGTGGACATTATTTATTTTATTATTCAGACATCAATACCAGACCACATTTCACAAGCACTTCACTGCATTTAGCACACTGCCACCTCGTAGTGCTGTTGAAGAAACTGAAAAAAGTGAGAGGAAAGAAGGCTAAACATACTTCGAACAATTTACTAGCAGAGCAGAATCATTCTAAAATGCATCACACCTTTGTGAAATATTGTTAGGTGGGAAGTAGGAGAACAGCTCAGGACAAGTGTAGTTTCTGTTCTTATTAGTTTAATACCTGATAGGCCCCCTGGGGGGGGCGGGGGGGACTGTGTATTAAAATGATTTTTTGTATGCGGAGCTGGATCAGGGACTTTCCTCTTCCACTCCTACATTGACCTTGTATTGCAGTTTTTCCAGAACCAGTGCACCACCCCCTGTGGGGTTAGTTGCCAGAAGCCATGTCAGCCCGTAACTCACAACTGGCAGCCCACTGAACCTCAGCAGGCGTGAGCCTGGTCAGTACCTGCATGGGAGACCTCCTGGGAACAACTAAGGTTGCTGCTGGAAGAGGTGTTAGTGGAGCCAGCAGGGGGCTCTCACCCTGTGGTCTGTGTGGGTCCTAATACCCCAGTATAATGATGGAGACACTATGCTGTAAAAAGGTGCCGTCCTTCAGATGAGACGTAAAACCGAGGTCCTGACTCTTTATGGTCATGAAAAATCCCAGGGTGCTTCTTGAAAAGAGTAGTGGTGTAACCTGGGCATCCTGGCTTTTGCAAATCATGGCCTCCTTATAATCTCCCTCTGTGAATTGGCTTCATTCCTCTTTTCTCCTCCCCACTGATAGCTGATGTGTGGTGAGTGTTCTGGCACACTATGGCTGCTGTTGCATCATCCAGGTTTACAGTCCCCATTACCTGTAAAGGGCTTTGAGTGGAGTGTCCAGAAAAGAACTATCTAAGTGTAAGGAATTATTATTAAAAATTGCTTTGGTTTGGGATCTTCGCTACCTGCCAGCTGGGTTTACGCTGGGTCCTGGAGTTTCTTCACCACTCAGTTCCGTCCAGTCCTTGCAGGGAAAGGCGAGAAGCTGTCGGCTTCACATCCCGAAGGCTGTGCTCTCACTGCTTCCTTGTTTCTCTTTTTGCAGCATCAAGATCCTGGCAGTTCAGGATCTGGCTGACAGAGATGCGTTGGAGAAGGTATCGATTCCTCATTTGTCCCGTTTATTACTGTGTAGACTGTGTGGAAGGGTAAACTAATAAAGTCTTAAATACTGCAATGATATTTCCCCAAAACGAAATCAATAGACATCTCAATTGTGGTAAATGATTTCATCTTGAAGAGTGGGATTATTACTTTAATCAAATCAACATAATGAGTCTGGCCTTGCTGTATTCAAATTTGTCTTTGTGTTCATCCTTTTGTCTTTTTTCAATTATGGGAAGCTTGGTTTACTTGTTTTTGTGCTGTACCGATATTCCAATAGTGCATTTCAGACTAGTTTTGCCAATAGCATTAATTGTCATATTTTTTTATTTATAATCTCATAGCTTTAGGTTTTCTATTAAATAGAAATGGGTGTTTCAGTTCATTCTGATATTCTTTTAAAAGGTTAAATTTTATACATGTATAAAGCTAATTATAACAGGACAAGAAGGACGCAGAGTACAAAGAATTAGCAAGAAACAAGACTCACATTTGATTAACAATTCAGTTTAAGGCTACTTTATCATAACATACAGTGCATATTACGTTTGTTGATGCAGCTTATGATTAATTGACCATAGAAAAGACATTATCCTTGTTAAGAAAATTTGTGAAGTTAAGAAATTGTGTGTTCAGTAGTTAATATATCAAGTAAACATAATCTGTTAAACCCTGTAAGAAGTGTAATTAAAGACATCACTGCATATGCATCAGTTCGTTGTGTATACTACAAAAATTGATCCCTGTGGTAGTTGTTTGCATTGACTGTATTTTAATGCTTTATTTAAAAAGAGCTCTTCTCAATAACAGTTCTTCTCTGTGCAGATTCTCTTTACATGCATCACTTAAAAATATTTTAATTTAGACAGTCTTTTTTCCTTTTCATTTGTCCATGATCAGATATGCCATTTCCAGTATTAGATACAGACTAGATTTATCACACACACAAATTATAACCTATAACATTGTGCTATTTAAACATCCTCAATCTTCCAGCTGTAATGAAGTTAATGTACTACTGTATATGCCCAAAGTAACATGGGCAGGAAATACAGTACTACAGTTGTTTGCTGATTGGTATTAATTGACAGATCATTTCTCTGGCTGAACTAAATACTCTCAACCCAAATCCGGCTGGAACGATTGGGTCAGCGTTGGTGTTTCAAAGCTTTTCATGGACAAGCGGCATTTGACAGTATCTGAATTATTCATATTATTAAAAGAACAACCGGTACAAACAGTCAAGCAAATAAGTAATGAAGGTACAATTTCTAATTGCTGATTAATTATAGACCATTAGCTTTCCAGACTGAATGGCATTGTGCATGGAAATTGCATTAGGTGAGATTCCATTCCTCACAAATATGGCCAAGAATGCTGTGAACACTCACAGAAGGGTGAGAAATATTTAGCGGGGTGAGTGTATGGCTACGTTCTGTTTGTGTGGGTGAGCCAAGAGGTTTATAAAGGGAGAATCCGGCCTTAATGCTTCTCTTGAAGGTTATGTATGGCAGATGTTGACATTACTGAGCAAGCAAGCTGGATCATTTCTCAAGGACAGTCTTTTTTTGGTGAAAATATGTTTGTTTTGACTTTTTAACCTCTAAAGATTTAAGCATTCTTGTGGATGTGTCCATTTGTTTGAGTTGGGATGTCTGTAATGATTAATTGAATGTTTTGAAGTCAGCATTATTTGTGTTTTTATGTTTGGGAGGAGGAATGACTTTCACTGAGCAAAAGGGATAATATAAAAAACAATTATGTATCCTTCACCTGATACATACAAATTGTGTCAGTGACACTAGACTATGAATGCATGGATGAGGATAAATTATATAGCAGAGAATTCAAATGTTCTATTCATATTGGAAATGGCACCTGTTTAAGAAGGGGATGAAATGTTTAATATTGGTTACCTCTAAAACTGTAACAAGTAAGGGCAATGGATCAACAGAGAGAAACGGTAAAAGAACAATTTCTTTAAATTCAGCTGAATAGCGTACAGAGTAACTCAGTTGATCTGGTTGTTTCCATGCCTCTACCTGTTCCATAGCTTGAGAATGTTTAAAGTATAATTCTCTGCAAAACAAGATAAAAAGGTTATCTGGGTATTACTGTAAATGTGACAGTGGCTTGTGAAAGCAGCTTTTTTGCATTATTCTGCAACTAGGTCTGTGTATCTGATTTGGCCAAAGACCAATGTGTTACATTTTTCACTGGAACGCTGAAATAAAATCTGCAGTTCTTTAATTCAAATATAGACACACATTCATGTGTTTTGAGATGTTTTTGTCTCTTTGCTTGAACAATCCATTGGACATTTTTCTGAGCACCACTTTTGTCTCAGTATAATTATTTATTAATGATATTTAAACATATTACAGAATAGATTAGAATAGATATTTCATACTGGAGCATTTTTTCTTGCTTCTGTGTAAAAAAGCTACAAGTTCTAGAATTAAAATAGAGTTGGGGTATAAACAGAATGAAAACAGCTTAGCTTAGTGATGATGGTACCAGGTGAAATACAGTTTTAAATTACAAGCCACTCTATAGCAGTGAGTTTGCAGTCACTGCATTTCTCCTGAATGCCAGCGAAACCTAAAATACATTTTCCCCCTACTCATTCTTGCTCCCTTTGACATTGATAAAGAGGTTTATCAAGCAAAAAAAGAGTTTGTATTAAAACGATGAGAAACATTACAGTTCAACAAACAAATTCAGAAAGTACCTAGCATTCCTCCAGTGAGTGTTAGCCCTCCTATAAGGGTCTGTGGTGTTTGCAGAGTGTCAAATGACAAATGCTTCTGACAGGTGGGCATTAGGAGATGTATCCAAAGGTCCTCATTTTTCCCATGAAGTCCAGAGGTCATAGTACTTCTAAAAACATCTTTGCAATATTGAATTTAGAGGGGATAAAACAGAAAATTAATGAGCAGTTCCTGCATTTCAAAAAATGATTGAATTAGGTAACTAGGAACCTCCTTTTTGTGCAATAGATTGTGTAGCCACATATTTGGTTTAGCATTCAGCATAATTTCTTTCTCCAAATAAATGGATATTAGGGAAATATTTAAGTCAGGTAAACACGTTGTTGAGAATACATTTTTGGATAATATATTGAATTTAAGCTGGTCATAAATGGCTGCAGCAAGAAAGCAAAACTGTACGGACAATTGTGCAGGGACTTCTCAGAACTCCAGAAAGCATATATTCTTTAGGGCCTTAAATATATCTTTTAAGCCATCCTAACAAAGACACAAATAAATGCGGAACTGTGTTATTACTAAGAGGAAATAAGGTTTAGTCTAGAACTAAACATTCTGATGCAAATTTAAGTCCCATATCTACTCTCAGATCTTTCGTAAGCTTGCTTTCTGAAGAATCTTGCAACAAGCTATTTGTCGTTACAGCCATTTTGGATAAAGAAATTATTCTCTTTCATTATTAAACAATGTGGAAATGACTGACTTCTCTATAATACCTGTTTTTACTATCTCAGCATGATGGCATGATAGTAACACTATTGCTGCTGAGGACAGAGGAGTTAATAAAAGTAGATGAGCTCTAGATTTTACACAGCAACTAGAAGCAGATATTAAGTCACCCTGCAAGGGTAAAGACAATTACAGCTGCTCCAGCACCAGAAAGATATATGGTCTGCTCAGATGACATTAATGCCTTGGATACTTTATATCTTTTCCTTTGTAATTTCATGGATGGAGTACACTCTCATTGAGGGATTAAGAGGGCCAATAGCTTGCTTTGAAATAAGTTTCGTTGATTGATATTGAACATTGACACATGAGCCAGCTGTACAACTTTCACACTCAATGGATAAGACATTGTACAGTAGCTGCATTTCTGAGGCTGTTTCACCTTTGTCTTCAGCACAGTTTGAAAGAACAGCATGTTATCAGTGCAAGGGTAATAACATAGTAGGCATTCTCTCTGTGCATTGTAGATTGTTGTTGAATCTTACATTGATGGTCTATGTGCTGAAGCTCAGTAGGTTTCAGTTCTCATTCATTGTAGATTTAGTGCCTCTCAGTGTATTTTAGACAGAGACTCCTTGAACACAGGTAATGTACCACCTGCCCGGCTACAAGCAGGCTTCACAGAAGGCACAGGAACAACTTGGAAGTCTGCAAACTTTCGTCAAAGACTTCACTACATTTCTGTTCTTTTTATCCCATCACCTATTGCTTATGTAGCCGAAGAGTTAAAAAAGTACCAAAATAGCTATTAAATTATGGTAATTTAATAATAATAATTGAACATACTGCTAGCAATGTACATTAGTGATCAGGATAACAAGAGCAGGGTACGAGCTTTACCTTATCAGATCCTCTAAATGTACAGATATCTGTCATTGATGCAAGGATTCTGTGTATCCTTTTGTAGATAGCTGTTACTTCCCTCAACGAAACCACTGGCTTATTTATGGCAAAGGTCTTTAACCTCCATGACACTTCGCTCTCTTATTAAAAAAGATGTTGGACTCATGTGCGTTCTCCATCAGTTGAGTCTTTTTTTAACTCGCGCATACTTTCCACGAGGATGAGTGAGTCAGTGGTGTGGCTCAAGTCGCTGTAGTGTCAGTGAGACACATGAGGGATTCCCAAGCTCAGCACTTGGCTCAGTGTCAGGATGAAAGTGAGGCAAGATCTGTCGGGGCACTGGGCTTCCAAACCTGGCAATGTGGGCGTCTGCTCTGTTTGTTTTGTTAGTAAGGTCATTGGCTTTCCATTGAATATGCCTGTTTTCCAAAGGTAGAATCAGAAAAAAGGCGACTGTATTAGTCGTTATGCATTTAAGATTTGTGTATTCGGCTTTGTTGCAAAACTATTTCGCTGGTCAGGATGAATAAGAATAAATAAAATACCTGTAAATAAGGAGAATTTGTTTACCTCTGTTCAGTTTTTCCAGTGGTCAGTGATTTCAGAGCAAGTAATTTTGTATGTCTAATGTATCGGCTTTATTTTAAGCTTGCATAAATCTGGGTGATCCAGATGGCTCATGCTAAAATCTCTGTTTAGCAGTCTCATGTTGGAAAAAGAATTAATATACAGCAGGTAGTAAAATGGTTTACTAACATCAATTCCTTCCTGTTTTTGATGTTTTTAAAAGGCGCATCAGTACTTATGTCTGCATTATCAGACTTACACATAGATCTCACAGGCCACACATAGACATGAGTGATGAAGAACACTCTCTGTACTGGATTTCAGAAGTGCTGTAGGCTGCAGCTGGGTTCTCTCAAGTTCAAAATGCATCTGCCATCGGATTTGCCAGACGTGGGGATTGTAAAGAAAACCCTGAACCCATCTGAAGGCCAAAGTAATACACTAGCAAGAATTTCCATTAGTTTATTTTTTTCTGTATCAGTTTGTGTCTTTTGTCCGTATGGGCAGGTTTGCAAAGATTTGTGCTTTTTTAGTTGTGGCAATTTAGTTGTATAGTTTTTGTGTGCTTAGTTTACAGAGTTACCTGAAGTGAAAATGAAAATATACAAGAATACATTTCCACTCCCTGTGTAAAATTGTTAAAAGCAATAAAGAAGCACAAGAAAAAAATATCCAAGATATCTCTAGTGCTTATATTCACACAGCTGGTATCAGGTTAACCATGATTAAGCCGGTTCAACTTCAGAAACTCCAGATACAGCACCACGTCTGATGGTAATTCACAACCACCTTTTAGACATTGGAGCGGAAAACATAAAACGAACTAAAGTTTTTCATTAATTCTCAAAGAAACTTTTTATGACTGTTCTTCAAAATAGATTTTTGAAATAGGATTAATAAATTGTATCATTAAAAAAGAAGAAAATGCTACAAATGTACACATTTTTAGCTTATAATTGGGTTCTCTCTAAAAAAGATTAATCTTTGCAGCATGATTAATTTACTTTTGAGTGTTTATGGCCATAAAGCATTGTCTTCTGTTTATTGGGGGGTAACTAAGGAAGTCCTGTCAGTTGGTGGTACGTCAATGCCTTGCTGTGGTTTTTCTGACTCACTGGGTCCTACTAACGGAAAACATCTTTAACACTGTTTGCTGTTAAATCACCACTCGGTGTCAGTCTGAAGAGGTTGGTACAGTAAGTATGACGAGAAACAATTACAAAACTGATAGTTTCCAGGAGCCAGCAGCTGACATGCAGTCTGAAATGCAAGCAAGGAAAACGACATTAAAAAAAAAACGCCCCATGAAGTGCCTTTATAGAATTCAACACTGCCGCCTCCCAAATATTTTTATACTTTGAACAGATCTTGAGCTTTGTTATTTATTTAACATTAAGTGGGGGAAATCTCACAGCTCATTTTTCATTGGAGAGAAAGTGAGCTAAGAGTCCAACTTGGGTTCTCGATCTCACTGATGCAGAAAAAACAGGTAAACAAAAGGATTTTGTAGCCTATCTCAGGTGACAAAAAGTTTTACTTTTTGTTTTGTTTTGATTTTAAAAAGACAGCAACTATTTTGCAGGACTAATGGAATCATTGGTCAGACATCACCACTTTGTGGCATGACCTTTATTCAGATTTAAAGTACATTCTGCAAAGCGCTGGTATTCAATAAGAGGTTTGCCATCTCCTTTCAAACACGAACTACCAGGGCGACATTTACTGTAGATGGAGAGTCGCTTTCCCTGCTGGAAGCTGAAGGAAGCTGCAGAAACATCATGGAATCTAATCCAGCATTTCCCAAAGCCGTCAGGATGCAGTGCTGTCCAGGCTTGTAGAGGGCTCATTGTGTGATGTGTGCAACTGTGCGCGCTGATTCAGCTTTCGTAAAGCACCATTTATTTCGAATGGTAATTGCAAGAATGTCCTGAAACGACGTTGATTTACATCTACCATTTTCCCGTCCGATGAAAATACTGCAGAGGCTGCTCTTATTGCCATCCAAACGTAAATTTCTGGAAGGGCTGACGTTTCAATTACTGCAGTTCATTGAACCCATTTCTATTGGTTTACTGGGTACCATCTGTAATGTAAATCTAGTTAAACAAACTTCATTTTTGTGCTTTGTTTTGTGAACTGCAGAATATCAGTACTTGGCAGCTCTCAATGAAAGCTGCTGTCATGAGCAGTGTAGTACAGTAGATAGCCTATCTTGTCACTAAATCTACTGATAGTACCTTCTCTTTGAATTTTAAACTGCACACGGGCACCACAGTGGCAGAGCTTTTAGGGTTGCTGCATCGTAGCTTTTGGGGGCTATCTGCATGGAGTCTGCATGTTCTTCCTGTGTTCGCATGTTTTGTTTTTGGTGCTCTGATTTCCTCCCACTGCCCAAAGACATACTGGTGGGATAACTGGCTTCAACTAAACTGGGCCCGGATGTGAGAGTGTGTGTGTTTGTGTCCGTGTGTGCCCTACAGTAGACTATTGTCCCATCCAGGGTGAATTCCACCTTGCACCTGTTGTTTGCCAGGATAGATTTCAGCTCCCCCATGATCCTGAATGAGATGAAGCAGTTAGAAAAAGGCTGGACGAACCCCATTGCAATTTGATCCACAGGAGTTGTAAGACTCCCTTATATTCTTAACCCATCTTGGAAACAAATTGTGTATTAGAGAATGTTTGTCTTTTAGAGGCGAGTTACCTTAGAACAACCCCTTCTTATGAGAAAATGTCATCTGGTCTAAACTGAACTGATTACGAAAGCAGTATACTTGTCAATGAAATGCCAGTGTCATTCCATCGATTTGTTTCCCATGTTCCATATTTATATTATTTCACTAGATGTGTTCCAGATTGGGAACACTGCTTAAGGGATTTTCTTGCTTTAGATATTTTTAATGCAGCCTGGTCTCAAGTGAGAGTTGTAGCATAGCAACACCCACAGATGAGAGGCTTTGCTTTCTATAGCTTGGGGTTTCTCTCTGCAGAAAAGGTATAGAGAACCATTTGATTATGTACATTATATATTTTTTTCAGTTCTTAGTTTGGTGAAGTATGAATTCTTAAACACTGTGGGGCTTGGGCAGTTGCACATGTACACTAAAATACAATTTCATTAGATACTTAAGTAGCATGTAAAACGAAATTACCTTATATGGCAGTTATTTTAGTCTGTGAGGCCCTGCTGAAGTCAGCTTGTGCAAGACATAATTTTTGTTCTGTTTATCTGCTAAGTAGACTAACAAATATGTGCTTAAACGTATTAAATCTTTTCATTTTAAATGCTTTTTTATGTTTCCAAGCCACAGCCATCAAAGTAATACATTGGTCAACTCAATAGACCTAAGGAATAATTACATATGGGTCTGATTAGAGCAGATGCCAGTCATGTGTGCTGCAAAGTAATCCAAAACTTTTTAAAACGTTTTTTTAAGTTCAGCCGTCATTAATTTAGACAACTGCAAAATTTGCTTTACATGTCACTGAGCATCAAACGCAGAGCTGCAGAAGATTGATTAAGTTATTAAGGCCATTGCAACATCTTTTTGTAGCAGTTGCTCTGATATTTTGTGAACAAACATGGCATAGGAATGATCAATATGCTGACATTTGCTGTCGGCAGAGGGGTCTATTGTGAAAGTCACAGCCTAGCGCGTTTACTGTACTGCTGGAAGCAGTACAAGCTGTACACATGCAATCCATACTTTGCACCATGTTGTAGTTGATTTTATGTAGGATTCTGTTCCCTTCCTCTTGTAGAACCTGGATAAGCGTATGCAACTTCGCTGGTCTTTTAGACATAGACGTTACATGCCATTTCTAAAAATACTCTAAAAATAGACCATTAATTAAACGTATACTGTACAACGGTGTTTCACTGTAATACCTCCCTTTAAAAAAAGCAGTGACATTTTCTAATACAGTATACTGTATACAGTTCTTTCCAAAAGTATTCACCACTTTTCAATGATGCCCCCTTTCATTGAATATTAAGTAATGCAATCACATTTTGTAGTAAATATTTTTGATCAAAAAAACCTTGACGCTCAAACCAAACACGTTTTTGAGTGAAAGAAGTTAAATGTCAGCAAAAACTGCGAAGAAAACATCTAAAACTGAAGTATGATGATTGCATAAGAGTTCACCCCTCGGTCCCTTGTTAATAAAAGTCAGCAAATAATTCGGCAAAGTTGCGTGTAGACAATTTTCACACTTTGTGCAGTTTTTACCCATTCGTTGCAAACTTGCTTTGTGGTTTGATTTCTGGGCTAAAAACAAAACATCAGCTTAATCCCGATACAGGTTTATACTGTACATTACAGTTACAGCAGGTGAATGTGCTACTTTCAGTGGAACTGAGCCATAATTCACTCATTGTTTACTTACTCTTCCATCTCCTTGTTCCACAGAAATAAGTGACTAATTTCAGCTCCATGTCTGTGAGCCTATAGCAGCGACCTTGGCTCTCTCATGGCTGGACTGTGCGCTGACCTGCCTGTTGCTTCTCTTTTCAGTTTTGTGCGGAGCTCAACCAGTCAACCCTGCCAAATGTCCGGAAATGGAAAGGCTCCAGGGGACTGTGGAAATATGTCGTCTCTGACAAGCCTGCTGGACAGTCATACAAGGTAGGATTGTTAGACCTACTGAGATCCCCATAGACAAAGGCTGGTTCCCTTTTAATTATAATAGTAATAATTGCTTACATTCATATGGTGCTCTTCTGGACACTCCACTCAAAGCGCTTTACAGGTAATGGGGACTCCCCTCCACCACCACCATGTGCAGCCTCTGCCTGGATGATGCGATGGCAGCCATAGTGCGCCAGAATGCTCCCCACACATCAGCTATCAGTGGGGAGGAGAGCAGAGTAATGAAGCCAATTCATAGATGGGGATTATTAGGAGGCCATGATTGGTAAAGGCCAATGGGAAATTTGACCAGGATGCTGGGGATACACCCCTACTCTTTTCGAGAAACGCCCTGGATTTTTAATGATCACAGAGAGTCAGGACCTCGGTTTTATGTCTCATCTGAAGGACGGCGCCTTTTTACAGTATAGTGTCCCCGTCACTATACTAGGGCATTAGGACCCACATAGACCACAGGGTGAGTGCTCCCTGCTGGCCCCACTAACACCTCTTCCAGCAGCAACCTTAGTTTTTCCCAGGAGGTCTCCTATCCGGGTACTGACCAGGCTCACACCTGCTGAGCTTCAGTGGATTGCCAGTGGTGAGCTGAACATCAGGGCCTCACTGTAAGGATTGCACAAGAGCAGTGTTAGAAATAGACAAAACTAAAAACAGACTAGAAGACATTTCAAAAGGAAGTTTGCAGATCATAAATGTGTGATTCCTAGTTTCCTTTTTTCAGTCTATGAAAAATGTTGACATTTCAATTTTAAAGCAGTTGTCCTTAATTTGTGCGTCATAACCTCTATTGTTATGCAACTTCCCCAATAGATTTGGCTTATCACTACTTCACTCTCTGACACTTCTGTTTACTTAATGTCATATTAATGGATTACATGTTTTTAATTTTGTGTTTTTCATGTGGCACACAGTTGGTAAAGGTCCTGGAAGGTAAAGTGATAGCAAGAAATTGAAGATGAATGGTTGTTTTTACATTTCCATCTGCGCCATTGTCTTGTGTGGCCAAAAACAGATACTTTAAACATATTCTGATAGACTAAGCTAATCAATTTTACATACTTTGGAGTCCAACACAGGAGCGTATGTGTGTCGACAAGACACACATAGGAGAGTAGGATTTGCATTTGTGAATATACTGTAGATACAAACATTTTTAAATGTACTTTTTTCTTTCTAGACGGGTTCATTTTACAATTGACTTATAAATTGAGTGGCTCTCTTCACACTTGACTGCTTCAATCGTTCTGTTTTGATAAGTTTGTGTTTTTGTATAAAATGGTGATACTGTGCCTTCAAATCTTTAGCCAGTAGATCGAATTAATGCTTTTGTATTTTGTGACAATGCCGTTCTTATTACTGGTGCTAATTTAAGTTATGCTTTGGTAATCACTTCTACGGTTTTAGGTTACCTACTGTATACATTGGCACAGGTTAAAGTGTCCAATTTGATTTTTGTTCACTTAAACTGTGGTTTTGCTAGTGTTTACAGGCATGTTGTATGACTCATATATCTTTGATTCGAGAATGTAAAGTGTACTTTTGCAGATACAGTATATAAATTCCCATCTTTTTCATTAAACTTATCCTGTATATCTTCATTTCATGGAAGGGGGCTGAGTTTGCCGGTTTCCTGTGGGACAGCAGTTGTGGAATAGAGCTCAAGGATGCAGCTTTACTGGAGAGCCCAGCAGTCAATGGGAATGGGAGACAGGCTCATCCTAGACCATACCTGGCTCATTTCAGTGTAAGAATTTTCATAGTCCTGTCTTTCTAGTCTTGCAGATTGAGTTCATTGGCTTCGCTGCAGGGGTGTTAAGGTGGCGTCACACTACAGGACGCGACACGACTTCTAGTCCACAGAGCATGTCAAATTTAATGACTGTCAAATTTAGTCTCGCTGCCTTTTCTGTCCTTGAGGGTGTCAAATTATATGACTAGGAATCACAGGGGGTGACTAATTACACGATTCCCTCACGACTTTTCATCACGGTTCCAAATCTCATATTGCGCCGCAAAAGTACCGCGAGGTCGCTTCACTTTGGCAGCCAATCAGCGTGGAGCCGGAATAAGAGGAGGAGCGCCGCCCGCAAGTAAACAAACAGCGTGGAGAACAAGCACATAAACATTTTGGAAAACGTAACACAGGCATTGTTTTCCACAAATAAACATCTTCAAAAATATAATTCTTCTTTAGAAATATAGAACAAATTTACAAAATAAAACACAGTTAAAAATATGACACACCCTTAAACCAAATATTTTAATCAAATTAGTATTGCGCTATAACGTGTAATATAATTAGCACGTTATTTCACAAGTACACATCTGGCTCACTGCCCACCCCTTCGACTTGCGACTCACTACTAGAAAATCAAACCAGTTTGATTTTGTCATAGGGGCTGTTAAGAGCGCTATGACTGAGTAGCGGGGGGTGTCACACTACACAACTGATGGTACAGGGTGCGAGCTGCGACTCTCTACACCTCACTCTAATTTTCTTGCGATTATGTAAATGCAGGCTACGACTGAAAATCCTAGAAAAAGTCGTGTAGTGTGACGCTGGCATTACAAGGAGGACATTTGATCATTTTTCACAGGTCGGGGCATCTGAGGTGACACTTGTGAATATCCATTTGAAAGCACCGTTGATGGAGGGAGAGGCCAATGGGAAGAGCCATTCTGAGAACCTCAAGTTTTCTTTTTTCACGGAGTCGGTACAAGAGATACTGAAAGGTAAAACTCCAGGTGGTTAGTGGATTGGTTTTGCTCTGTCTTTTTTCCCCTTGTTAATATTTCCATTAAGTTCAGGCATCTGCTTTACACAAAAACAAGGTTTCTCACAAGCAACATATGCTCTCAAGCAACATATCACAAAATAGAGGTTTATTTGCTCTGACGCGGAAATGCAGCCTCTTTAAATTTCAATGCACTGAATCATCTGCCCAGTATGTTGATGAATAGAAATGTAGCATTTTGTCTGCTTAGACTCCTTCCAACCCATCTCTTGAAACTGGTTGTTTTCCCCCTGACCAACCCAGTTTCCCCCCCAGTAGACATCTTCACATTGGCAAAAATTTTGACTCATGTTGAGATTTGCATATTAGTAACTTGGATCAAAGTGCTTATGAGAAAGGGGCAATAGAAAAGCAACCAATTAATGTCTCAACGTCTGGTTACCTTTTTATATCAGAAGATCATCATTACCTGCAAATCAATTATGTGCTTTGTGCCTGGAGAGGAGCAAGATTATGGTCATTAACTTCACAAGGGTACATAGTTAATTACACTTAACAACAGCCATCTGTTGTTAACCATGAAGAGGCTCGTTATTCAATGGAAGCAAGGTTTCAGAGCAATTTTGTGATACCTAATAGGGAGGCTATCATTTTGCAGTTCGTGCAATGAAGGAAATGTATTTCCTTTTCAAGAAAAACTTTCCTTCTCGGGCATTTAGGCTTGAACATACAGCCAAAAATGGAAACACTTGGATGAATATGGGACATTGTGTATATTAAAATGAGGGGATTCCACACAGATGTGGCATTACTTAAGAAAATATCATTCCGTTATGCTTTGGGTCATGTTTAAAAATGCTGGGCAGGCTCGATTGCCTATAACCGTGACTGCAAAGGAGACCTTGGTGTCTTTGAAGCAGGGTGATTTCTAGGGAGCATTTGGCAGGAGCTTCAGCGAACAAAATAGCTCCACTTTCTGATGTTAAATACAGAGAGAGAAGAGATCAGTGTCTAAGGAGATGTCAGCATGGATCTCTGAGGGAAAGACGTCACCAGCACAGAGTGAGTGGAAGTTCACTCCTGCACAGTTCCAGAAGCTGGTTGACTACACCCCTGTGCATATTGGCCACATGTGCTGGCTCAACGCACTATTAAGTGACTTAACATTGCTGTGTCCTTTCTTTTGGTCACTACTAGTATATACAGTATACTGCTCTATCAATAAGAACAGGATTCTATAGCAGAAACCCTTGCCACATGTCACGAGTTTACTAATGTGTGAAGAGTGCCTAGCTGATGTTTTGTTGTTGCTGCGCAGGAGAAAAGGACTTGGTTATACTGGGTGATTTCAGCCTGCCTCCAGACAGCAGTGATTTCGACATGTTAAAGAAGGAGAAGCTCTCTCCACTCATACCTGCAAGCACTTTCACCAACATCAGCACCAGGAACCCACAAGGGTCCAACTGCTTGGACAACATTTGGGTTAGCCGCTCGCTCAAGAAGATTTGCACAGGTGCGTATGAGTGTCCAGATTTTCACTCACATAGATTAAAACATTTTTAAAGGCATTTCTGCTTTCTAGATCAGTCTTTTTTTAAAGTTACACACTTGACTAGCTCATTTTATTTATTGTCATCTCTAAAAAATGTAAACAAAACCTTGGTTTTGTTTGACCGTGACACGTTCTGTCTTGCTTTTGAAACCTTGTTTTGCTCTGTCCATGTTGTAATTAAGCCATGTCCAGCTCTGATCGACGGTATTTAAAATAACGCTGTAAAAATGAGAATTGAGAGTTTGATGTAACCCATTTCTACTTCATACTCTTGTTTCTTCCCCCAATGTAGGTCACTGGGCTGTCGTGAGGGAAGGTCTCACTAATCCCTGGATCCCAGATAACTGGTCCTGGGGTGGTGTAGCTTCAGATCACTGCCCTGTGATCGCAGAGTTTTATGCTGACATCCATCAAAAGGAGCTCATTCGCAACGGAAACAGAGTTGCTGTGGTGGAACGTGGTGAAATTATTCCCAAACATGAACGATGACAGCTCCAGGACTCTCAATCCGAGAAAGCATTAAAAAAAAACATGTTCTTGTCAGAGTTCTGTTCATGGTGGAACGAATGAATGTTAGCAGTGAATGTGAAAAACACCATGTTTGCCTTTTTTTTTCCAGCGAGGTTTTGTGCTTCAGAGACCCAATAGATTTAGTTTACGGTTTGGAGAATGGACAATGGATTGATACTGAGCCAAATTAATTACATGAAAAAAATAAGAATTTGACATATCAAAAACATTTTTCTTGGGCCATATGCACTTTTTTCTGCAAGGAATTAATCTCCTTCATCTCGGAGCAATTAAAGGACATTTTAAAGTCGAATTCAGACTTGTTTCAGTGTCTGGGAATGATAACACTCTTGTTGAGAGGACTTGGATTTGTGGATTTGAAAATAATGTTTCAAATGTTCAGGCCCTGATGTTGTACGATTTTCTATTATGTATTTAAAATATCCTTGTCTAGGGGAAAAAAAATCAACATTTCTCTTCTGTTTTTATCCATTGATCTTGCTTTCCAGCAAAAATATACTTATATGTATTCACTTTTTTTTACATTTTCAGATTTTAAAACATATCACATAATTGGCAAGCAAGAAGCACGGTGTCTTGATTTTTCTTTTCACTTAAGCTCTTAGTTAAATAATTAAACTTGGTATGTGCCTAACTGTAGCTATTTAACCCTCTGTCCAGGTCTTAAGCTACTGACAAAGAGACCCATAAAGTCTCCTGTAGGCTGGATTTGTACTTTAGAATAAATTTGTTCTTGTGGCTTAAATACATGAAAAGAAACTATTCAGAAGGATTCAAAAGAATGTTGAGCCTTATTCTACAGGAATACAGCAGCAAATACCTTTCATAATCAATATTAAAAATAATTGAGGGTGTTCTGTACAAATGTACACAGCAATTCACGAGCCTCATTGTTTTAGCTATAGATGACCAAAATACTAATGTTGTTGAGAATTGAGTGATCTGGTGAAAAGCTTCTTGGACTACTGACATTTCAGTTTTTAAGATACACTATTAATAAATGAATTGACAATAAGTTCTAAGAAAGAAACTTGTTTTAGTAACATTTTTAGCAGGACACCCTTTTGTTATGACATCCAGAGTAGCACTGCTAGACACAGACCTTGCGTGTTAGAACCAGTCTGTATCCTGTACGTACTGTAACAGCAATATTTATGTTCGAGTTGATAAGAGTTCAGAACTGCAGACATTTCAGCTTTTGTCAGTGATGCATATGAAGTGAGTAAAAAAGTAAGGTTGATGTTTACAGCAAACTTCAAACTGTTCCTTACAGAGAAGTGAGCAAGACTAAATGATGAAGCACAGATATGGTCACTTTATAGTTTCTCAGTAAGCTGCTGCAATGTTCACATTTTTACACTAATTTCAATAGTTAGGATTATAGTACATACTTGTCCCATGTAGCTGTTTTAGCATTTCAGCACCTCAGAGCTAGGAAAAGGCACATTCTGTAATGTGCTGTTTCACACTGTATTTAAGAATACTCGTTAAGGAACTGTACGTAAGATGAACATTCACAGCTGAAATTAACAGGAGCCAGATATAAAATGTGTTAATTTCACAATAATGTTTATGTAGATTATTTTAAAAATCATTTGTTTTTATTTAGAACATTATATTGACCGTTATATGTTGTTCCATCAAAGATTATTTAATTTAGTTGGGTTTTATAGCAGCAAATCCATTGTAAATATTTTCTTAATTTATTTAACCTTAAACCAGCCTTCCTTTTTCATTGAATTCTAAGCCTAACACAGACCAATTCTGCTACATTACGAGCAACTCTTCTGTCAAAGAAAAGGAAAACAACATGAAATAAAATGAAAGATGTTTTAGTTGTGATTTGGTCTTGGAATATATCCTGACTTTGGCAATGAGATGAGACAGTTTCTGTGGTAACTGCAGCAAGTGACATCCAGATGAGTTTCTAAAATATGCTGTTTGTTGACATGGACATTGTATTATAAACTGCTCAATGGTAGTGTTAAAAGAGTAACACATAAGCACTAGACAGAAAGTATACATACTGTAGATGGGATCAGCACATGTAAATATCTTAGGTCAGGGTGCCTTATAAAAAAAAGCCATGGATTTCTATATGTAATTGGCAGTTTTTTAATAGCTTCTTAGAGTATCTCTTGAGCCATTTCATATGGCCTTTTCCCTACAATCTTGTTAAAATATTCTAAAGGTTAAAGGACATCATGCAGGAAAATCACTTAGGCCTGCTATGTACAGTACTGGATCAACTAAACTCCTGAAATTAATTACTTAAAGCAATACAAAGGTCCATTGTGTAGGTGCTGTGGGAAGTAACTATGGATATTGATAGAGATACTTCAGCATGTGAAAATGTATACTGTGTATGACTGAATTAAAAGCTCTTAATGACCAAAGTGTGTGGTTTTTTACCTCTGAGCAAAACTCACAACGAATGTACTGTATGTAATGATCATACCCCAACAAATCAGGTCAACACCACTGACCTCATGACCCAGAATGTTTGGTTTGTAGTCTCAAATAGCAGTGCTATCTTTTAAAATTATCCTGCTATACTTTAGTATTGTTGTCAATACTTAATATAATGTTAAATTAGTAGTATGATATGACCATTTTTTAAAGTTTGTTTCCTATGCAGTGGGAAGTGCTTAACTGTTAGCATTTTTATCTTATAATCATTTTAATCTTTACTTTAAATATTTCTTTAACTAATTACACAGTCAATATCTAGTATGTAAGTAACTTAAGAGTCTGCCTTGTCAATGAGATGGCTAATAATAAGAAGCAAGTTCCTACATGAGAAGGTTAGGTATATACACAGGAATGCCTGTAGATTTAGGTCAAGAATCCAGCATCTACCTAGACCCAAGAGCAATTAAGAACAGAAGAAATAATACAAGAGAAAGCCTTTCACATATATTTACCCTATTTTGTAGTTAGCAACTGATAAATCTAACAATCGTATTTAGCTAATGTATTAAACAACATGACTATACTCACACAGACCTTTATTAAAGCAGTGCCTCCTGTTCTTGGTTTTAAAGGTTCACTGTTGTTTCAGTCCAGTTTTAACTCTGTGCCCAGGTCAGGTGTTCAGTTTTCCATTAGAAAATCTTATCAGTTGGATGGAGAATAAAGCCTTTGGGTGTTTGCTGTGCTTATCACAATAAGAGAATAACAGAAGTCTGTGTATTAAAAAATAATCTGAACCAGGAAAGCAAAGTATAACTTTTAACAACAATAATAATGATTCATTAACGTTCACCACAATCATGATAAGTAATGGGCAAGCAACTTTAAGGGTATGATGGAACTCTGTTAAATTCTGAAATATATTAAGGAAATCACTGTGACCATGAGTGATGATACCTAGAAATGGAAAGGTTATCAATTATCAAGTGTGTTGTCCACCTGAAACTTGGCAATCTTACTAAACTATAATAAATTCATTTTGGTTTTTAAATACTGCCCCCAAAATTAAATAATTCATAAGTTACTGTCCAAATAAAAGTTCACTGGGGACTGCAATATTCAAGAATTGAATGCTTTGTGAATGCTTGGAGCAATTGGTGAGAAAATTTCGGCTTAACTCGTTTGGTTAATGGGCAGCCTCCTGGACACAGAACTGGAGAGACTGGAACCCAATTCAGACTGAGTGAACCAAGGGGCAGCTGCAAGGCGATGGTGTTGAGGAGGGATGTGGAGATGAATGTGAAGAGAGGCGATTGAACTCAGCTTGTGTGGCTAATGTGGTGATGATGTAGATGAGGTGCATCCATGTCATTGAATTAGCTCAAAGCAAGACTTCAGTTCCCTTAGCAAAGGGCTGGAGGAATTTTGTGTTCCCTTCTGTTCACATGGCGGCGTGATGTAAAGTTAAAACTAAAAAAAAAATCTCTAAACATAATTTAAAAGGAGTATGTGCAGTAATGCTCTAAACAGACATTGACTGAGCTCTTCCAAAGACAACATTCCTACTAGAAAGGAAGTAGCCTAATGTGATTAGTTTCCCTCAGGTCACACAAGTTTCAGACACTTTAAGCCACAGATACATAATGTACCACATGTTTTTAATCAAGATTGAGATTGCTGCTGTGCTAAGGTCTTAGAGATTTTTGCTTTGTTTTACTCAAAGTCTTTTGCTTCTTTATAAAGAAACATATCTACTGTACAGTATGACAATCTTTAACAGTTATTCAGGATGGATGAGCAGCCAGAAGAAAAAGGGGTTCGGTTTCTGCCTGGGCTCCAGTTTGGATAGAAGGAGATTGAGTGCTTCTGTCACGATCGTCATTCCCTCCTCTTAAGGGCACTCCGAGCCCCGGACTCAGACGGTCAGGACACCGCGATGAAGCCTGTGCCGTCGGGTCTCTCCTGGACCTGCTGGTAGGCGGGCTTCTGGGTGTCCATCTTCCAGTGCTGAGCTAGGAATAGCAAGAGCCCCGGGCTTAAATAGTGGTAGACTAAACAGGGGGCAGGTACACTTATTAACTAAAATACGAAAGGGTCGGAGTGCCCTTAAGAGGAGAAATGAAGATCATGACAGCTTCAGACAGTTGTCTTAATAGTAGTGGGATCAGCTGGCTTGAGAGACTCTGTGTTCCAATTCTGTCTTAATTCTGTCTCAAATATACCAGGCTTAGGCTATACTGAGGGGCATCACAAGTGCTGGACAGGTGGCCTGTATGGGGAGGCTTGTTTGCCAAGGCTCACTGGGGTAGAAATACTGAGGACCAGGGCTGGCCATCTGAACCAGCTAGCAGGAGGCATTGGCACCTGAGGGAGTAGGGCAGCACAAGGCAAGGTGTATGTATCTTCTCTCCACAGCTGAGAGTGAAGGGTGCCTAGATAGCACAGAAAGAGTCCTGAGTGCTCCCAACTTTACCACCAGCGGACATGTGCGCAGTCTCAAGAGTGTGTGACCTGCAAAACAACTGCTGATGTGTCAGGGGAGCCACTGATGATCAAAGATGGAACAGTGTCTGTGACTAAACAGGGTGAGCTAGAATAGTTCATGAAGAGTGAATATTTTTGTAAAGAGCATGCACTTCAGAGGACAGCATGCAAGGAGCTGAAATAGCAGAGCTGGCTGATTTAGTGACTTATGGTAGTGATTAAGAGAGTGATTTAACCTTCTGGGCAATGCGGTGTGAGTTGGGAATACTACAGGGCCCCAGTGCCTAATTAAGTTAATGAATGGTGATAAGCATAAAGTTGAGGAAAGAGCTGAGAGCTGAGAGAACACAAAATGGAAAACCGTGCCTACATCCCATAGAAGAGACCAGTGGAAGGACTAGGAGCAAGTAGAGGTTCCATCCGAGAGCCTGGATGACAGACAACTTAAAATGTCAAATTAAGGTGACGCACTACCGTGGTTGTAGTATGTTTGAGTCTTTGTAATGTTACATGCAAATCCTATGTTCTTCAGTCTCTTCAGGTTATATAGCCCTATAGCCACATTCTTTTGTTGAGTCACTGTCTGGATTCACTATTTTATCAGTGAACAGGCACTGGTTTGGGTTGCTAAGTGCTAATTAATCAAATGACTTAGGTTTTCCAGACACTAACCATTCCTGTGTTAGATTTTGCTGGTATTTCATTGAAACATCTAAAGAAAATCTTACAACATTCTTTTTGCATGATACATCTCAGTTTTAACATCATTCACTTGTATCTCATTAAAACAAGCACTCAAACACAATCAAACTCAGCTGAAGCATGCAGCTCCTGAGAACCCTATGTGTTCATCTGCAGCCTTCCTAAATTACAGTAATGCTATTACCATGGAGACCATTAAATGCATGGTTTCCATGGTAAAATTCTCACTGTTGCAGATGCACCATGGATGCCATACACATTACATGGTCAGAGTCACATAGCATATTTCCCTATTTCCAAATTATGAGCCTTTGATTAAACAGCAGTGACTTCCTGTTATTCTGTCTACAATAGCCAACTCCTGTAAACAATTTTAATGTAGAACAGAAGGAAATAACTGGAAGGCTTTCTTAAATACAGACTCATTTTAAATTGATTTGACACTTTCCGAGGTTCAAGAACATTTCTAGAATATTTCATGTTTTTAACTAACAATTCTGCATCCATATATTAAAAAGGGAAGAATTTTTACATATGTAAAACGTTTTAAAAAGAAAAAAGAAAACAAAAAAAAACTGGGTTCTTGAAATGTAAAATCTCACATTTTACTTTTGAGTTTTTCAAAATTGAAATCAACCAAATTAAGTTTCAGCAATTGAAAATAGACAATGGAATTGCACACTCATAAGTACTGTATTTACATTTGTGCTGAGGTGACCTTTAGAACTGACAATTAAAGCTTAATAGCTTTAATTTAAAAATTCTTTCAAAAGCCACATGGTGCCAATATTCAACAGTGTATATGCACTTTGTACCAGTGCACAATAAAGACAAACATGAACCACCTGAATATTATGAATGGTCTTGTGAACCTGATAACTGATAAGCTGAAAATGTTTATCAGCTGCTAATCAAATTTTTGTAAAGATAAACCAAAAGTATTTTTCAGTTCACCATGATAATACTGTGTAATCTTAAAACTGTTTTGGTTATGCTACTGACAGATCTAAAATGGTTCATTAAATGAGTGCCTTTATGAAAGATCTGTAGTCCCAGTTTTCTGCCCCCTTGTGGAATAAATTAGATTTGTCACAAAAATAAAGCTTGCTGAACATGTTGAAAATACAGTAGTTTGTTTTGTCTAATGTAGTCATTACTAATATTATAGTTAATAAAATAAAAGGCTATCGCTATCTATGACAATGGTTCAAAATCCATGGTGCACCTATACAATCTATATCTATCCCAGTGGTGCAAACAAATCAACAGAGAGAATCACAGATCTTGTGATCTGAGATACATTGTCTGTGGGTCCCAGAAGAAAAGCTTCAGTGAATAAATTATGTTTATATTTGCAATGATGCATCACTCAAAATTATATTATTTATATATAGATATATATATAAAAATTATAAACATTTTTATAAAGACACTTTATATGTAGTTCACAATCTATATGAAGTCTTGGTTCAGTGCATTATCTATCTCTGTAGAATAGGGTGAAATCTAAAACTTAAAAAAAACTATTTTGGATTACACTGTACATTACCCATGAATAGAATTCACAGAAGTTGATAACTCAGAAATCAACAATGCTTATTTGCATGAAGCTGAATCATCGTCATAATGACAGCCTCTAGTACTGAGTCAGGGGTTGTTATGTTCCCTGGTAGAAACATACTAAGATACAAGTAATAGGTTTATTCCATGCTGAAAAAAAGAAGAAAGAGAACACAACGTTTCGGCTGTGGAGCCTTCTTCAGGTGTGAGAGAGACAGGGCAGTAGGCAAAGGTAAAGTCGCGGGAGAACAAAGGTTGGGAGGGAGGAGGAGTGAGAGGCGGGAGCAGGGGACAGAAAGAGAGGCCAATCAAGAGGTGTGAAGTCAGAATGGGTGCAGAGAGGTGTGAAATGAAACTTCCAATGAATGGAGAAAATTTAAAAGAACAGTAGTCTGTCGTTAAGAGAAGGGAGAATGTGTGATCCTAGCTCCAGAATAATTTTGGTTTTAGTGGTCTTTCTGATGTATGAGTTCGGAAAACCGTCTTTGAGAACACAGACGGAGAGATTAGAGTGGTCATGGCCATCAGAGGTGAAATGAGAAACAATGGGCTTGGAGAGATCTTTAATCTTCACAGCCCTGACGTGTTCTCTGAAGCGGTCTCCGAGTCTCCTTCCTGTTTCTCCAATGTAGATGGCTGGGCATTTACTGCAAGAGATACAGTAAATAAGGTTGCTGGAGGTACAAGATGCTTTCTGGGTGATCTGGAATTGTCCTGAGGGGCCTTGAATGAGTGTGAACACTCTGTTTATCCAGACACCCACCAATTACCCCACGGTCTGAGGTGACGCATTAGATTGTGTTAAGATCCTGAACAGGCTGAACAAGACCTGGAACAGTGGCATAGAGAGGAAAGACAAAGGACAAAGGAAGGAGGAACAATGCACCCCACCTGTCTACTGTTCTGTAGTTCTGGTCAGGAAGAGGATGTACAGTATACAGTAACTCTTGTTATTTGAAAGTCACAGGCTCAGGTTCTCTTTTCTTCCCTTACACTGTATTTGCTGCAGACAACAGGAAGGGGATAAATAATGGAGACACAAAATATAAAGGAAAGGGGGTACAGGTGCACTGAGACACCTGGTCATTTGCACCATCAGTCCCTCAGATAACCTCTTGTTATGTCTGCCTACAATCCCAACCCCCAAAATGATCAGCGAGAATTTCACATCCTTCATTCATGTCCCTGCTGGTCACAAGGAGCTGTAACAGTGCTTGTGTGGTGTCGCCGGCCTTTAAGCTAACTCTCCTGATAAGGAGAAAGAATGTCGGTGTGGAATCACTCAGATGGATCTTAGGCAAAGTTCTGTGATGAACGCTGGGCAGTCACGTCCTTTGTAGGGCTCTTAATTGGTAGCTCAGGCGTTGTCGAAGATGGACAGCCCTATATTCTCACACGGCTCAATTTGAAAAAAGTTCAGTGGGCCTTTTCATTGCCTTCCAGGGCCCTCTTGTGGTGACCAGGGGTAGCAACGGGTATTTACTGTAAGCAGAGGCCTAAGAAGAGGTGGAGGCTGGGCACTGTCTCCTCCCCACCACCCTGTACTTGATGAGGACAGTAGTGTTACGGGGAGTATAATGGAACACATTGATTGGGTCTGTCAGGACAGAAGAGGATGCTACAGGCAATTAAAAGAGTATGCAGAGTGTCAACTTTTCTTCAGAGTGGAAGGAAGTGCACCAAGATACCAAGACTGGTGGTTCTGGAGTTTTAGTGAGGTGACTTTTGTTTTGGTTCCTGCGGTCAACAACATTCATTTGTGGATACTTTTGTGCAGTGTTTTTTTTTTTACCAGTGATATTTTAGTGAAATTCCTAGAACAATTAAAAATTGCAGTTATATTCATAGTATACGGGCCTTGTGCTAGTCTGTGTGCGCGCTGATGGTTCTAGGGGATTGAACTAGCTTTTGCAGGGAGAAGAGTCCCTAAAGGACTTGCATGTGGTACTCACTACGTGATTTTAATTTTCATATACTGTGGGTATATTTCATTAGCTGAGATCCCCACAAGAAACAGTCTTTTATGTACAGCCCACTTTGTTTTGTCAACAGTAAATTAAACTAGACCTTAAGTCACTTTTTGTAGCCAACAGAAGAAGAGAGAAAAATCTATTCCTCTTTACTGGGAATCCTGTAAATTATCAGAAAATTGAAGGTTTCTGGAGAGCATTAGTCTTGATAAAAACTAAAATGATGTAACCAAACTGCCTGATGTAGGTTTTATGTGCATTTTAATTAAAACTATACACTGTAGAACTTACTGATGATATTTACTGACTAAAGGAGTAATGTGTAAGACCTCTACTAATGTTAACATTTGTTCAACAGAACTGTAGATTAGGCTTTAAATGCCTGGGAAAGACAATTCCACCCAATCATACTGAGACTTGTATTTATATTATATTTTATTCACTTTGCTCTGTGCTTTTAAGAACAATTTCTCATTACAATTCATTGCCTTTAAACTTTGAAGATTAAGATAAAATATTAAGTGCAAACCTTTTCACAGAATCCATACAAGATGTTGGAGTAGCAGCAGTATTGGTACTTTAGGAGATCAAAAGCTGAAGAACTCTGTCATTTCACAGTGATTGTAGGTTTTACTCAGTATAAACAATGACCACAGCACTTCATTTTGATGTGTGTATTTGCTAAACATTATTTTGGGTAATGAACCATTTTTCAAATGTCAAATTACAATTCTTGTTATAGCTCTGTAAAAAACGTTGTGTAAAAATGTAATTGAATCACTGTAAAACGATCTTTTCAGAAGCTGACATTAGATACTGTATGTGTGAACAAGGCTGTTGCTGTAGGTTAGGTGCACTTATAAGTGAAAATAGACCAAAACGATAAATTTATCATCCCCTTCATGTAACAAACACTTCTTAAAGAAGAATAGTGAACAATTTACTTTTTGTCTACAGAGACTAAGAATATGTAGAAAACATTAAATGTTCAAAACAAATTATTTTGTATCACAACTGTATTACTATTATTATTGTTGTTTTTATAAGCACTGTAGTATTAGTGTTTGTCATGAAGTTCAGTTTAACCACCTAAAAAGGGTTGGAACCGACCAGTTAATTATAGTCTTGTTTCTTTTCAATGCTTTCATTCTTGGACAGATGAGACTGGGAGGTGTGGAGAAGCAGGGATTCAGATTAGAGCCTGCAGTTCCTCGTCAGTGAGCTGGTTGGCATCCATGATCTTGTTAAGTTGCTCCATGTAGCGGGTCTGATCCTGCAGGAAGTGGGGAATCCGAACTTTGTCCATCGTGGCCAAATCCTTCAGACGGTCCACATCCTCATAAGAAACCTTTGAAAACACAAGGTCACATCGCTTTTAAACAGCAACCACGCCACACTCTTACCCCAAGTTCCAAAATTGTAACTCGGAGATCCCTCTCTCGTTTACATGTCACATTCTGACACAATGGAGCACCTTTTGCTGTCTCCTGCCCAAAGACACTGCAAAGCAGGGTGCATTAAGTGCATTTAAAACTGAAAACAGCAGGCACTTTGTCAGTGAAAGAGTTGTGAGGGTCTGGAACAAGCCGCCCAACCGTGTCGTTGACTGGCTCACCTGCTGAATGGCCTCCTCTCGTTTCACCTTTCTTATGCTCTTATGAGAAGTTTCATGAGACCAGGGAGTAGCAGACTCTTTTCTCTTAAAGACACTAAAGCCTGTGAATGCTGCAGAGGGGAGACAGAGCAGTCAATATAGAAGGCATGAAATGAAATTGCTCCAACAAGCAATAGCCTTAATTCACCGTGAAGCTGGTGTCCAGGTGAACATGGTGGTGCAGAGATGTTACAGAGGAAGCAAGGGCAAGGAAGGAAGGCATCAGTGGCTGGGAGGGCTCCAACGCACAGAGTGTTAGGAATCCCTGGTGGGAAGATACACGGATCCTGTGCAGACGCAGGCACGGGTGATAGATGAGGCAGGCGAACAAACCAAAACGAGAGGCAAGGTCGTAGTCAAAAGGCGAAAGGCAAGTCGTAATCCAGGAAGTTCTCCGGTAGCAGACAGTCCGAGGC